AGGTCACAAACCCCAAAGAATATACTTTCACGTGAATATACTTTCACGTGACCCCAAAGGTGGGGGTCACCTTTGGGGTCACGTGGCCTTAAGGTCACCCCCAGGTCACGCCTCCCCGAGGTCACGTGACCCCCTCCCCGAAGTCACGTGACACCCCCCCCCCGGAGCATATTAAAGAATGAGGGGAGGAGGAGGAGAAGGGGGAGGGGTCTACCCTCCCCTCAGTACCCTTCACTCCTCCTCCTCAAGAGCTGCGCTCCAATTCGGCGTTACAGGGATTTGTAAACGGCTTTCACTTTTTCTCTCTAAATTATTTCGAACTGCATACGCATAACCGGCTTTAGGGGCCGTGGCTGACTAGCGAACCATGCACTCATTTTTGCTTAGCGGTTGAAGAAACGTTCTGACCCTTGGTGTTATTTGTTGTACTCGAGAATTATACCTTTCCGCTTTGGGAAATGGCAGTTTATTCGGTACCGTTTCTTATTAAAAGTAGCTCCTCTTTTCTATTTCTTTTCTGCGGCACTCTGAACTTTTGCGATTTCGACTGCGGCTCCAACTCCATTTCACACTGGCCACTCTTCATTTAGTCCACGCGTCTTGCGACAGATCTTTTTTTAATCATCGTTGGAAATGTATATTATTTATTGTTTCTGTCGCATGATACAACAGTTGCGCGAGAGAGCACAGTGCGAGAAAGGAGTGCGTCCAGTGCGTGACAGCAGTTAAGATGAAAATGGACCATGGATATTAGCTCAATTCGTTATACTCAGGGCGTTTCAACCGGCTTGTCCCAAGGCTTAAAACAAAATCGGTTCACGCTACGCGTGTCGAACCAACGCAGTATTCTTTGCAGTCCTATGAAGCAAGTGAAGATATATCTTGTGATAAGTCAAACTGGCTAATTAACACAAATTAATTAGCTAACTTTTTAAAACGTTAATTAGCGTGCTAAGCCTTTAATACAAAAAACTGTAGAGCGTTCGAAAGACACCCCAGTATAGAAGATTATTTTTACTAAGGATTGCGTTATCAGGACCGGATGACGAAGGCTGTAGATAACCACCACTCGAAACTAGTTTGCCAGACTTGACCAAGAGAAGAAAAGTCCTCTATTTACAATCGAGGTATCTTCCGAACTGCCTAAGCACAAAAAACCTCTCGTGACCGACCCATCATCTCAACTTCCTTAACCATAGCCTCCTCTATACTCACAATGCCTGGCAGTTCGACGACGGAGCCATAGAGTGCCCGGTTGCAGATTTGGAGCGCGAGGATCTGGTAGCGCAGAGAATTTCTGGGGGAACCTACTCGTCAACGAACAGCTTTTGCAGCGGCGAGGACCCGAAACATGCGTCTCAAACCCGACGAGAAAAGAAGCGGTAGCGCGAGGAACCCGAGGGGCACGAGCGGACATTCCATCGCTCGGGAGAAGTGTGTTTCGGCGTCTCGCCGCAGCGGCGCGCCTGTCACGTTGCTCTTTTCTCATCCGTGATCTGCCGTTCTCTGTTCTCAATTTCGGCAGCCGCGTCTCGTGGCGATCTGCCAGGCATTGTCAGTATAGAGGAGGCTATGCCTTAACCATGGTGGAAGAAATACATTTAGGTGATGGCTCTGGCCGCTCTTCACGCGGGAAGCGAGCGACCAGATCGTGTTGGGCGGTAGCCTCAAACCAGGAGTAGTTAGTTCCGCGCCACCGCGGAGGGCGCTGAGCTATGAGCACCATGGGTATGAGATCCCTCCTCGGCGACCACGGTGTCGCCGGCGGAGTGAGCTCGCTTTTTCGCGGTGTGGTGGTGGTGTGCGGCCAGCGGCTGGCCTCGTGTTTTGCTTTGGTGCTGTGTCGATGACAGGTGCCACCATCGTGTACGAAGGTGAGCCTTAGTCCCAAGAAGTTATGCTATACGAATGGAAAAGACGTGCTTCGTTTCAACGGCAATTCGGGGTATTTCTTCCACCTTGTGCATTTAGTCTATCCTGAAGCCTCCGAAGTTCGGCAACTGTAAAGTAGTTGAAGGGGAGAGGGGGGAGGCTCATGAAAAAATGCTGTATGAGGGAGAGGGGGGAGAGGAGGTCCCAGCAAAATGAAAAATTTCGGGGAGAAGGGGGGCCCGGGCCGCATGCCCCTCCCCTGGCTTCGTGCCTGCTTGACGTGTCAGATCTCAGAGCCCTGATCAGAACTTACAAAAGCCCGTTGTCTCCTCATTTCGTTGATTAAGTGAAGATCAAGCTTGACAGTCAAATTTCTGTCAAAGAATGGGAATCCGAAGATGTCTGGACAGAAAAGGCTGAAGTAAGCAAGTGTGTGGACGGCATACTATATTATGTAACTGGATTTTTGAGTGTGAAAATTAAAAAAAAAAAAAAAATCTACAGGCTGCCCTCTATGTCGATCAGCTTTCAGCATCGACAAGAACATTTCTGCTGAAGCAGCACTGACAAACGCGAAGAACAAAGCAGGCCTTATGCACCCCAACAGAAACCTTTTCCAACCACAGAAATAAAAGCGGAACAGTAATTCGTAGAAATAAAACTCACTATACTATCTACAGGGGCGCAATCGGCAGTGTTCTTGAAACATTCGCAATAACGTTTTAAAGCGCTGAACACAAAGAAACAATTGCCTAGTTCCTCCACCACCACATCAGCATGCGAATGCGACAACACTGTAACCCTATTACCGTGAGTAGGAATAAAGAAGCTCAAGAAAAGAAGAAATCTGCAAAGCAGTGCTCGTTTTAGTTTAAATGCGTGGGCGAGAAACACGGGATGTAGGAAATGGCGTAGTTTGGTAGTATGCAGTGAATTCAGCCTCTATATACTATTTAAAGCAAAACTTTTTCTCAGGTATCTTTTTACGTGTAAGACGGGGTGACAAAATATTGTGAGTGTATAGATGAAAAGTGATCTATGTCTTATAACCGCTACTACTGCTTGACTTTCAGTCACTGTGTCCTCATTTTAGTCTCTATGTCATCAGAAATAAAAATGTTTTCTACTGACATGGGTTCGATGTACCATAGCACCAGTTGACATCGTATGTATAAATCATTTGTAATGTCTTTCTGGGGATGTAAATAAATATTTAGTCCCCACTATGTAACAATATTAAATTATTTTTACAAGAAGGGAGGAGCAGGTTGGGAAAAATCCCCCGACCCGGATAAAGCCACGTAATGTGCGTAAACAATTTACGGAACTGTTACCAAACATTGTCGGACAAAATATGCGAGCACGACCCAGCTCTTTAACTGAGTTATTTCAAACTACTCTAAATTATTGAAAACGCAGCAGATTGTGTCGGGAAGCTTTATATTTATACCAGTATTTTGTCAAGTTGATTCATCATCGGAAGGTTTTCATTTAAAACACAGCAACCGCACGGGGGAAATGGCAATCGGTGCTAATGCGGAACATAAATTCATCATTTCATCGTACAGTACACAGGGACAGAGTAAAGAATGCATAATTTCCTTCACAAACCCTCTTTACAAGCCTTCCCAAGCCCCTTTATAGTTGAGCGCCATCTATCCCCGTGCGAGTGAAGCACGCTGGGTGTGCCGAACATAATGTGATCGCCGCATCGGGCACAGAGTCATCACAAAAATGTATTAATTCCATCGTGGCCTTAACACATGAATCTAGCGCTAGCCATCACGAGCACCGTCAGTTCACGCATACACCGGGGCACACGAGCAAAAACAAAAAAACGTAACCTACGAGCACGAGTGTGGGTCTCATTCTTGTGCCCCTTCACGAGATAGCGCGGCTGATTCTCACAACCCCAATGTGTCGTATCCACTAAGGGGGTCCTGGGGTGTCTATTTTTCCTTTAGCCTTCAAGGAAGCGCGCGAGATTTGAAATACCTCACTTGTCTAAGAGCACTAATATTGCTGTTCACTTGAGGGTACAGTAACCTAACATGCTTTTAAATGTTGCGTGCCTTATTTTTCTTCTCAAAAACTACAAAAATTAAGTGCACAAATGCTACTTTTATGTAACTCACATATTGAGAACTTTCTCGACGCTCTCTACAACTTTCGTGTGGGAAGGTTTGCAAGCGTATTATTACCTAGAAAGCTTGTTAATTCATTTGTATTAAGTAGCCAGTTTGGCACACTATAAAAGTGAATTGACTTGCTCAATGGGACTGTTAACACAGCATTTGTCCAATATGTGTAACAGCTTTTTCTAAATAACTGGGACAAGTTAGCTAAAGCATCGTATACAGTAAGCGCCGAAACAAAGACATTTAAAGAACAGTTCACATAAATCACGTGTCCTGCATCTTTTTTTTTATATAGTTTAACAATACGATGGGGACCTTACAACGTCACAATTCCAATATGCTTTATGTCTTTGCCGCGTACCGTGTACTGTAAAACTCTTCATATTTGCGTCCCCTCCTTTTCGCGAATCTGTTACAAAGGACATTAACGCGGCAACTAAATATCGCGAATTCCAGACGCTTGTTTTGAAACTGTTAAGGCCCGAAATTTTCGCGTGCCCTTAAATTTCGCAAAATTTTCAATTTCGCAAAAGTTAAGGGCTCGCGAACATTACGGGTTTTAAACTATTCTATTCACGTGACAATATCGTTAAATTTAAAATACAAAAATGCTATGAAGCGGCACCTTCTCAAATGCCTGTTGGGAGCGACCGAGGCAGCGTCTTCGGAAGTAATTGTGAGAACGGTCAATCAATCAATCAATCAATCAATCAATCAATCAATTTTATTTACATCATCACTGAATAGTGATGTGGGCTGCAGAGACAAAAAGTCAAAACAGTCTTGTTATGTACTCTTAGAGCATTGGATTTCACACCATTCTTCGAAACACCATGCCTGTGAGGGTCCTCTAAGAAGTTCTTGAAGTTAGTAACAAAAACATATTTACTTCAATGTCACATCCTAAAACTCTGCATGATGTCAATCTTTCATAACAAAGCATAAATGTGTTTCCAGATGTGCGTCTAATTTTTTTTTTGTATTCTTCAGATCAATCAACATGGGAGCTATTGGGATGTTTATAGGTCATGAAATTACACATGGGCTTGACATTGCTGGTAAGTAGTTATTATATTTGTTTGAAACTTTAACGCACCGTATTTTCTGGTGTATAGTCCGCGGAGTATACATGTTTAAAAGTTCCAAATTCACCCGGTGCGTACATCCACAGGGACGAACTATACACTCTAAAAAAAATAAAAGCCGTTTACAACTCCCTGTAACGCTGGTTGGAGCGCAACTCTTGAGGAGGAGGATGGAAGCGTACTGAAAGATAGGTGACTCCTTTAGGTCACGGGACCTCGAAGGGTCACGTGACCTCAGGGGAACCACGTGACCTCAGGGGGTTCAGGTGACTTCAGGGGGGTCACGTGGCCTCAGGGGGTCACGTGACTTTAGAGGGTCACGTGACTTCCGGGGTCACGTGACCTGAGGGGCACGTGACACCCGGAAGTCACGTGACCTCAGGCGGTCAGATGACCTAGGTTGTAACATGACCTCGGGGTCACGTGACCTTGGAGGCTCATGTCCCCTCAGGGGGTCACGTGACCTCGGCGGGGGGGGGGGGTCTTTTTACCTTGGTAAGTCACGTGACCTCAGGCGGTCATGTGACTTGGCGGTCACGTGACCTTGGGGGGTCACGTGACCTCGCGGTTACGCCGACGGCGATGGCGACGGCGACGGCGACGCCATTCAAGCCGGAAACGGGCCCCTAAGAGCTGCGCTCTAAAAAACGTGCGTCTACTTTCTCGCACAACACTCGAAGAGGCAATCACCGCAACTTACAGAGGCAGCTGAGTGAATGACGATGCCGAAACATATGTTTAGACCGAAAATTGCACATTGAGTTTTGACATTAAGCAATGCCAAATGTCCACGCCTTGCATTCCTTAATATCACAACTCAGACTTCGCTTCTTGGTGTAAAGATATGCTTCGGCATCGTCATAATTTGCCGAGCTGCCACCGTAAGTCGTTGATTTACTTTCCGTGTCCAAGTATTGTGCGGGATAGTATAGGAGCACGGTTTTTTTTAGAGTATGCGTTACTCTAATTTCCCTCGATAAAAGAATATTATTACTATTCAAGGACTACCACTTTTCTAAGACTAGCGACGCATCTAAAAATGAACTGTCACTTACCACCCCCGCCCCCCCTCAAAGTAAATATAGGGTTTCCCTTTCTTTAAAAAAACGTTTTTGGAACGCCCCTGCTATATTATTGGTGATTTATGTATGATAGAAGCTCCTTTGTGAACACTAATACAGCTGACATTTGTCAAGATGTGCTGTGTATGATCATTTTTACACTCTGGTTGGGCACCAAGTGCGGGCTATGCACCGTCTGTGGACCATCCAAGGAAATCGGCCTTCGCGGACCATTTAGCAGGGACGGGCTATAGACCGAAAAATACGGTAGTGCAATTCAGGTTGTTTCTTATATCTAGCTCATAATTCGATAAGGCGATTTTTGAAAACCTTTATTCTAATAACGATCGTAAGAAAACAAAATCTCATACATTTATCAGCAGCTATCAAATAGGATTTACCTGAAATAAGCCCCCCCCCCCTCACCCGCCCCTCCACAAGCCTTGTTAAAAAAAAAGAAGCGGAGGATATGAACATTAGATGTCTCAATTACTTTTATTGTTTTAATTGTTCGACCATAATTCTTGCCGGCATACGGGGTTATGAGGGATATCGCTCAGAACTGAAATATTGCACCTTTTCGGCGAAGCGGCGCTATATTCAAGTAGCGCAGGACAAGACATCTCATTGCGATGAAGTTTAATGCAGCTGAACTCGCTACAAGTATTTATGGCGGTAAGTCAAGGGTGGCAAGATCACATCTTTATCTCCATAAGCCTGCGTGACACATAGGTTAAATTACTCCGAATAAGCCCCTGCATGTGTGTCAAACACGTTCCCTGATTGCATTGAAATAGTTTACTTCTTGAATCAAGATGGTCCAGGCCAGTGATATCCCTACACATCCTCTAGGGGAGGGGGGTGGGGGTGGAAGTCTTACACCCCCCTTGTTTTTCAGAAGGCACCCCCCTGATTCGCAACAACTCCTTTGTTCTAAATGCCCCCCCACCCCCCCCAACCTAGAAATTTAAACACCAACCCTTATTTCAATTTATGGAGAAAACCGTGCTCGAGGCACGCCTTATTATAGTTGCCTTTACAGTGATAACCTTTTGATAGCACCTTTACAAAGTTCCAAAGCTATAAGCAAAAATTGATCACACCCAAAGTTTTTTTTTTTTTTTTTTTTTTAAAGTTGTTCGACGCGGACGCGATCTTCATGAGGTTTTACTCCTGGACTACCTGCATCTTGGCGAGCAATTCCTGCCGGAACAGCTTGTCGAACGTTCGCCTAAAAAGCACTCTTGAGTATCTGCATCTCGAACATCTCGGAAATTTCACTATCTCCGAGCATGTGCTTGTACATCTTGTCGTTGTCGATGTTTTTCTTTTTCACGCTTTCCGAGCGTTTCAAGAGAAACACTCACACACACTCGCAGAGTGCGCACATAAGTTTTATACTTTATCCTTACGTTTAAGTAAACAGAAGCGGCCACCAAATAGCCAAGAAACATGTTTTTCGAGTAAAACTCGTCGAAGCATTAGGCTTCCCCTAGGTTTCCACCTCAAACCAACGTTACTAAAGCACTCAGCTGGGAAACTCACGGTTGAAACCTGGGCCGCTGGCGCCCACCGAGACCGAGGTAAATAAAACAGCGTCACTCCTAATCTTTTATTTTTCTGTGGTCACCTTGCGCTTTCAGAAAGCATGTTCTTGCGTAAAAACAAACAAAAAAAACCCCCTATTTTTTAGTAACTTTTATTACAGTATGGCACAAAATGACGGCCGCGTGTTGTTTTCTAAAATTTTTCGTTGGCAAGTTTTTGCGGCACTATTAAAATTGTTTTTATACAACCATGTCTCCGCGGGGATTTCAGATAGCGCGTCACGACCTTGGCGCATCCCAAATTCGTTTGTAATTCGCGGCGCGTCTGCTTGGGAGACGACCCCTGAAACCGCTTCCCCCGTATCTGTTTTTGGCGCCGAAATGGCCGATTAAGCCCAAAATAGAAGTAACAGCGGACGCTGTCGAAAGCAGTACTCCATGCAGTTCCTCGTGTTGCCGCTGCGGGAGAAATGGCGGCGGTGTGATCCTCATTAGCTCGGTTCTCGAGTACGGATTGGGGCCACTTTATCAGAGCAGGCTCTATGTCTGTTTGACAATTGAGTGGTCCTAGAAGCTGTGGCCAGCGGCATCATTATACGAATTACTGGTACAAGTAGCGCCGCCAGCCCTCTGTAGTCGCAACAAAAAGCCCACGAATAAATGTCTCTGTCTCACAGCAATCACCGCGTTCGGGTGTGTCCCTACGCACGGTCTGCATGGTGTCAGAAGACACAAAGAACCCGGCGAAGTAGGCCTAGTCTTAAAAGGCCTGACGGTCAGCCTTCGCCGGACAGCCGGAAAGCCCTGCCGCTACAATGGCTACAGCAGCGACACCGGGAAACGTGACATCCCTGCTACCAGTCCCGAAGCCCCTGGATATGTCTCAACATCTTTGGGTGGCATGCAAACCTTGGCCGAGTGAGCACAAGCTCTAGCGACTGCGACAGGGCTCGCAAAGAAGCCTAAAGAAATTCAAGCGGCGACGTTTTTGGTCGTAATCGGCGAAGAGGAACGGGGGATCTTCCGCACGTTCAATTTCGAAACGGAAGCGGATCGCGACGATGTAGACAAGCTATTCGAAAGATTTGAGGAGCACTGCAAGCCCGTCGTTAACCTCGCGTACCACGACTTCGTTTTCGGCACGAGAGACAAAAAGTCGGGAAAACGCTTCGATGAATGGCTCACGGAGCTTCGTACGCTCTTCCGGAACTGCGAGTACGGGCAGCTCCGGATGTTCAAGAGCCGCATCATCCTAGGCATAAGAAAGTACAAGCGGTTGCAGAGCCATCTGATCAACGAGAACCCAGATTTTCGCAGGCTCGGAAAGATTTGTCGCACGCGAGATAAAAGCAAGCAGGAGGTAGAAGAGATACAGAAAACGACCCAAGTAGGCCAAGGCAATGCCGACAAGCACCAGGACGGCACTGAAGAGGGCAACTTCGTACAGAATAACAAAGCGTGCGCGAAGTGCGGTTACGCGTATCACAAGAACTAAGGGCTCATTCACACTGGAAGCGGATCCGCGTTCGCAAAGCGGTTGCGAACGCGGTTGTATAAGGATTCAGTACAATTGCACGCGCATTTGATGACATCAAATGCGCGTGCAGTTGCACTGGATCTTTATACAACCGCTTTCGCAACCGCTTCGCGAACGCGGATCCGCTTCCAGTGTGAATGGGGGGTAAGCCTGCCCCGCAGATGAAGAGAAATGCAAGCAGTCCGGGAAGCTCAGCCACTTCACGAGCGTCTACCGATCAAAGAAGCCTAACAAGAGAGGCGCCGGACAGATGAAGACCCGGAACGTTGACAGCGTCGAATGCGAAGAAAGGTGCTTTTTACGTGCCGTCTCGTCGAGCTACACGCGAAAAGGTAGTTCGGAACGCCGACATCAACATTGAAGGCAAGCCAGTGATTTTGCAACTTGGATAAAGTAGCAAACTTTTCGGTGATTTCACTCAAGCAACTGAAGGCGATAACACACAAGGAGTTGGGGTCACGAAACACACTAATGAACATATTTTTCGGCCAGAACAAAGAGCAGCCCGAAAGGTGACTCTGCAAGTGTCCAGCAAACACGGAGCTGCTCAGGCAGAGTTTTTCGTTGTGCAAGGGCCGGTGCAAGCAACCTTCAGTGGTGAACTGTTCCAAAAGATAGGCCTCATTAAACTTGTGGCCACAGTGGCAGAAGAGGGCCAACTCTACGAAGCGGCATGACCGTTTGAAGAGACGTTCAAGAGTCTAAGGAAACTACATGGGGTGGTGTACCACATGAAACTGCACCAGGGATGACAAGGTGTAGTTAAGCCAGCCCGTAGCGTTGTACTGGCCCTCCGTGACAAGGTTAAGGCTGAACTCGGTCGAATGGAAGCAAATGGAGTGATAACCCCCATCACCCAGCTGGCTGAAGGGGCAAGCCAGATGGTAGTTGTGGTCAAGAAAAACAAAATAAGAATATGCTTGGACCCAGTTGACCTCAACAAAGCGCTCAGGAGGGAGCATTGCCACATGCCGACGCTGGAGCACATCGTCACGAACATCGAGGGTGCCAAGTACTTTTCTACATTAGACGCTGCCACAGGATTTTGGCAAATTCGACTTGACAAGCCCAGCTCGTATTTGTGCATTATGAGCACGCCTTACGGAAGATACAGATTCCTCCGGATGCCGTTCGGAATTGCCGCTGCCCCTGAAGTCTTCTAGAGAGCAATGCACCAGGTGCTCCAAGGTCTCGACGGCGTCGAAGTGGTCATGGACGACATACTGGTGTGGGGTTTCACAAAAGAAGAGCACGACAGACGTCTATAAACTGTCCTGCAACGGTAACAAGAGGGAAACCTCAAGCTAAACCTGACCAAATGCCACTTCTTGAAAGCGGTGGTACGCTACCTCGGCTTTTTGCTACCGACAAAGGACTTTCGATCGACTCGAACAGAGCAGAGGACATCCTTGCAGTTCAGGTGCCAGGTATCCGCAGACAGAAATAAAGAAAAAAGATGAAAAGGAACTGAAGACATTCTTGGGAATGATGAAATTCGTTGCCAGGTTTATCCCGAACATGTCGGAGTTAAGTGCACCTCAACGAGACCCGCTGAAGATGGACAACGCTTGGGTCTGGATCGACTCCCAACAAGAGGTCGTTGAGCGTCTTCAGGCAGCCCTATCACAGGTACCGGTTCTGGCATACTACGACAAGACGCAGACCCTTGTGTTGCAGGTAGGTGCTAGCCGACGAGGACTAGGAGCTGTCATCATGCAGAATGGACGCCCCCTGGCCTACTCTTCTCGCTCACTGAATGAACTGTAAAAAAGATATGCACAAATTGAAAAGGAGATGCTAGCCATTGGGCATGGCTGCTCACGCTTTTACGACTACGTCTTCGCTCAGCCGTGCATCCTGGTGGAAAGTGACCACCGCCCTTTGGATGCGATGTTCAGGAAACCGCTTCACCACTTTCCGCCATGTCTGCAAAGAATGCGCCTGACTCTCCAGAAGTACTCACTTGAAATAAAGTACAAGCCGGCAAACGAAATGTTCATCGCAGACGCCCTGTATCGGTTTCCATTGAAAGGGAAGGTACCAGAGGAAGAACACTTCCAATTGAACGTGATCCAAGAGTTTTAAGTTTCTGCAGAACGACCTCCGCAGATCAAGCGGGCAACGAACCAAGATTAGTATCTCCGCCCCCTGAGGGAGTATGCAAGCACGAAGGGGCTAGAGGACAAAAATATCATTTCCTAACAAATCCGAGCCTACTGGCCGTACCGTGATGAGATTCATTCGGATGGCTACCTCCTCTTTCGATCAAACAGACTGATCTTTACCAGCAGCATGAGGAACGAAGTCCTAGACATCCTGCATGCAGTCCATGTGGGTACATAACAGATGAAACAACGTGCCAGAGACGCCATTTTTCGATCTGGAATATCAGCGGACATCCACGAGAATGCGAAAAGATGTGCGCTTTGCAGACAACACGAGCCCAGCAGCCAGCAGCTGCGGATGATGAGCCATGATGTCCGAGAACTGCCCTGGCAGACAGTTGGCATGGACCTTTTCCACCAAGCAGGAGAAGAGTATCTGACAATCGTGGTCTTTTATTTGTTTTATTTCGAACTTCGACGCTTGAAACGCGCAACGGCAGATGCTATCATAAAGTTATGCGAAGAGGTCTTCGTTACGCATGGTCTTCCCAACAAGCTGATCAGTGACAATGGGCCACAGTTTAACAGCCACAAGTTTTCCGAATTCATGGAGCACTGTGACATCATCCACGCGGCATGAAGTCCACGCTACCGCCGTTCCAACGCAATGGCTGAGCGAGGCATCCAAGGGGCAAAAAAGCTTCTGAGCACGACTCCCTACGACTCGGCAGAAATCTACAGCGCCGTGTTGACATGGAGGAACATGCCAAGGGAGAGGCTCCTGCAGTCCCCGGCCCAGCATCTGAAGTGAGGAAGGACAAGGACATTGCTGCCTACGCACCGCAAGCTTTTTGAGCCTGAGACATTGCCACCACAGCAGGTGACTGCATGACTTAAGGAGATGCGCCAGCGGAAACAGACCTACAACAACCAAGGTGCAAGAAGTCTGGGGCGTCTGCACCCTGGGTCAACGGTCTCCGTGTTCGACTCTCGGACCTCTCACTGGTCGACAGCAGTCGTAGTCACAGACGACCCTGCAGCCTGATCCTACATAGTGGCGATCGAAGATGTACAACAGCCTCGTCGCAACTGAGAGCATACCCGCTCCCACAGCCCCACAACGACGGGGCCACAGCCTTCGGGACCCCAGCCCGTGGAACTACGGAGAAGTTCAAAGCAGCCCCGCAAGTCACGTCGCTACATAAAGTGTGACTCAGGAAAGCCTTAGCTCCAGACTTGTTTTATTTTATGAAAGAAAGTACGTTGTGGGCAGGGGCATTGTTATACGAATAATGGGTACAAGCAGCGCCGCTAGCCCTCTAGTCGCAACCTAAAGCGGACGAATAAACGTCTTTGTCTCTCAGCAATCCCCGCGGTCGGATGTGTCCCTACGCGCGGTATACAGTGACGTTGCCTCAAAATCATTTTCTTCACATTCCGCCCGTTGACAAGCATTGCAATAGAGTCAAAACGCTCTCTTGGTCTTCGCAAATCGCCTTCTTCCAAATGGTAAATGCCATGTCGTATGGTCACCGTGACTACGAAAACGAAGCGACTGCTGGATAGACGCACACGAGAACGTAGTCGGAAGCTAGCAACATTGAACGCCATGTTCTCAATGTAGTCTGATAATGCATACGAAAAAAAACCCCGCTAGCTTGGGTCTCCAATCTATGCTTCCAAACAGACCACGCGTGCCCAATATAGAGGACAAGGTGCGGTCTTCTGTATTACGTACGCCTATTGGGTACGGTTTTCCTGTAACCTTTCCACCGAAACGTCATCCCTGCTGAATCCACATAGTGAAGCTTAACGTGCGCAAGCATCATCACCGATACATCTGGCAGCCTCTGACAACGAACGCAACACTACCACGCGATGATGCGAAGGCAGGCGCATCTGCCGCTTTGCAGCGACTCTCGTCTGGCCAGCCGCAAGCGGTGTGCTTGCCGCTTGGGGCTGACAACGAGCGCGTCCTGCTCTCAGGTTCTACCTCAGTACCTGCGCGTCCGGTATTGGCGAGAATTGCCGCGCTGATTGCCGCAGACCGTGTTCGGGAGCTTACGTCCGCCATTGCTCCATTCAGAAGCTGCTTTAGCGTATAGGTTTATTCAAGAGAGGTTTCGCTTACATGGTGAAGGTGACTATAGCAGACAAACATTAATTTGTGGCAAGGAACTGAAGTGGGCAGAGTTCAGGTACGTGTTTGGGCTTTTTTGCCAAATTTTTTTTAATATGGCAAACGCTAACAAGGAAAGTTGGAGATTATGACGGTTAAGATGTCTCCATGTTTCCTGCCCGTACTATTTTAACGAGCTGTAGAAGAGAAAACATATTTTTAGCTCGAAATTAAGTCTAAGCTTTTTTATTACTTCAATATCGGGCTAAGCTAGAAATGAGATAAAATTTTAATGCTTACGTTTACGCTCTGTTCACTTCTGCCACCAGAAAGTCATTTTGATGCTGATGGACAGTTGGGAAACTCGTGGAACGAGGCCGCAAAGAGAGAATATTTAAAGAGAGCTCAATGCTTTATAGACCAGTACAGCAATGTTACCGTAAAGGAAGTGAACTTGACGGTAAGTGACGTCCTAACATACGTGATCGTTGGGTAAAATAAGCGTGGATTTTCCTTCAACAACTGAAGTAGCACATAACAGCTACTTGTGGTCGGGGCAGTTCCGGTCTGCCGCCACGGTCCCACTGGACCGGGACCGGCAACTCCCCGCAAGACGAAAATGGTCGGTCCTGGTCGGGAATCAGGACTGAACCGGACCGGACCAACTGTGGCCGTGCTATGATCCGACCGCCGTACGCTATAGCGAACGGCCGCGCGATAGAGCGCTCGTCAGCGGTTACGGCATCGGCGGCGGCCAGCCACGTTTATTTCGTGCGCGGCGATATTCCCAGTGACTACGCGGGCATGTTACCAACACTAGTTAACAATTAAGTAACTAAGATTTCAAAATGCACCAAGTCTATTATGGAAGCAATTGGACCAGGAAGGTGATTCCATTCTTGAAATGTACGAGGAAGAAAGGATGAATGAAATGTAATTTGTGTTAGCGCTTGGGATGCCAAACTTGTGTTAATGAGCAAGACGAGGGGAAACTTAAATTGGGCGTGCAAATAATTTGTTTCGTTGTAAAAAAAATTATAAAAGTACATTTTGTGAAATGAGGAGAGGAGTGAAATTTTTCCACGTAGAATAAAGGGAGGGAGCGATAAGTTTTGATATATTTATGGCACTACCTGTGTAGTGATAATTAGTGAGTATGAAACGAGCAGATCTGTTTCGGATGGCTTTCAATGCATCAATGAGGAAGGCATGACAGGGATCTCCGATTGATGCTGCATATTCTAATTTGGGTTGAATTGGGGTTCTCTGCAAAATTAACTTCAAAGGAACAGGTGTTAGTGAAAAAGTACACCTAAGATAACCTAACATGCTATTAGCATTGTACGTGATGTACTGGATATGAGTTTTCCAGGAGAAGTTGTAAGTTTAGTGCATGTCTAAATATTTGTACAAAATAACAGCGTCTAAGTTCGCTGAATTAGGACGGTAATTAATATTTTCGTAGGACTCGCTATCTGCACATAGATTTACAATTGTTAGAATTAAGGCTCAAAAAACATGTCACGCTACTGGACAATACTGTTAATATCAGACTGGAGCACATAGCCGTGACTATGGTCTATTATTTCCCAATAAATCACGTAGTCATCAGCAAGTAAACAGATAGAAAAGGGGATGTGAATAGGCGATTCCTAACATAAATTAAGATTTACTATGGTCCTAAGACAGATCCCTGCAGAACACTGGAACCAACGGTATCGAGAGAAGGGCTCGAATTATTGACATTTACGAATTGGGAGCTGTTGGTTAAGGAAGGTTGAATTCATGCAAGATTGTCAAAGTCTATATAAAAGGACCTCTGAGTATAAAGAATGGTCTGATGGAGACCATACCTCGGCATTCTCACTCATGAGTGCGATCACTCACGATCACTCACGCTCACCGTCAGATTTGAGGTGATCATGAGTGAGGCCGCGAGTCTCGACAAATTGTGAGTGTCATTGTGAGTGTGATCCTGAGTTACGTGAACTCATGAATGTGAGTGTAAGCGTAAGTCCTGAGAAGTCATAAGCGTGAGTCTGACCGTGAGTGTGATCGTCTGCTCTAAGAACTCATGAGCTTGTGTGTGAGTCTTGCGAACAAATGAGCGTGAGTTTGATCGTGAGTGCGATCGTGAGCTCTGAAAACTCTTGAGTGTGAGTTTGAGTTTCGAGAACTCATGAGTTTGAGTACGAGTTCTGAAAACTGAGGAGCGTGATTGTGAGCGTGAGTTCTGAGCACTCATGAGTGTGAGTCTTGAGATCTCTTGAGTGTGATTGTGAGCTTCATGGCCCATGAGCATGAGCCTGAATCAAGACGTGAGGCTTAGGGTGGATATGAGTCCGGTGATTGCATTAGTTTGGGTGATGACGTGAGTCTGATGACCATGGCCATCATGAGTCGCCATGAGCTCTGGTATTATCTTGGCTTGGTTGGTCACGTGAGCTCCTGGGCAATTTTAGTGGGCGAGAAGACTCTCGCTTCGCAACTACTGTGCGGGGCTCAGGGTTGGTTTGGGTGTCGCTCGCCTGCTCCTAGGCCATGTAAACGCGCCGGGTCCTGTGGAGGGCGGAGGAGGAGGAGGGGGGGGGGGGTGCTTGTTCTTGCAGCCGCCTCCTTTCCAGCGCCCTCCGCAGTGTCTCAACCAGCTGTGGAGGGCAAACAGGACAGGGGGTGGGGTTTCGCTTTAGCCTCTCCTCGGCGTTCGCTCTTCGTTTCACGGCAGACGGCGAGACGCCAACGGACTGATGGCGCCTCGAGGCGGCGCGGTAAGGTCAAAGTTGGGGAAGCGCTCCATACGGTTAGCGCTCCTCTCTCTGTGCCATAGAAAGGCTCGTGTGGACCTCGGCTCCCAGTCGCCAAGTTGTTGCCGATGGCCACAGCATTTTATCATTGCGTCAACTATAACATTCGCAGGGCTGCAATAAAATTGAGTGACTCACATGATCCTTATCAGCACTCAGTCGGACAAACAATTTTATCTTTCCGCGCACCTCACTGTACTTTTCGCAAATGAGTCATCGCTCAGAAAGTGCAAAAAAGGCGGCGTCGTGATCGATGAAAGCTTCGAGTGAGATCTTTCACATTGTGTGATATCATGCTTTTATGTGTCGTTCGGGGCAAGATGGCGCGAGTGCATGATAGCCAGCCCGAGCCACGAGAGTGCTGCATTCAGTGCCACAAGCGGAGCTGTCTCTGGTCTCTGTTAATGGGGCGGCCAATCTGCTGGTCGGGCCGTGGTGAGCAGCGCCGATCCCAATTTTGGCAGTCCCCGTGTGCACCTGCGCTCCATGTCCCTGATTCTTTTATGCGGTTTTAATAAGACCATCGGAGCCCTGATAGGTCAAAGTGTGTAAAGCACATTCTAGAGTCGCCATTTGGACACCAGTTTGAGTTGCCTTTACCACTTGTGCGTCGCTCTATAATTAATCGCCGCCCGATCGGTGTGTTGTCTGTTCGTCTCCCAAGAAGTGACACAACACAACAAGAAGGTAGCGAATGGAATGGTTGCCCGTCTTCGAGAGCCGGCAGTCCGGACCCGCCGACCCTAGTTGTCGCTCGCCGTTCATAGCTTGCAGTCGGAGTCCGTGTCCACGCCTACGGATCGTCCTTCCCACGCCAGCGCTGTGTAGGCTAGGTGTTCCGCGCTATCACAGCCTAAGTCTCGCTGCGCAACCACTCCTGGATCGTCATGGCCTAGGCCGGTATGGCTAGGGCTCACCGTTTCCGCCAATCTTGATGCGAACCTCGCTGGTAGAATTATCCGGGAATCACCATGGGCCAGACCAGCCAAAACGGCTCTATCGCTCCTGCCCGGCCTCAGCCTCGCGCAGCACGCTCTTCCTATTTTCTCGCCGGCTGGCCGCTGCTCGCCACTCTCTCGACCGTGTTCTTCTTCTCCCGACACCCCTACGACGCTAGAATAAAATGTGGATAATTAGAACCAAACTCTGCATCTTGTACACAAGCCTAATGTAAAAATGCGTCAGACAACATAATATACGTGTGCGAAGGATAGTTACGCTTCGCATGAACATTTCGCAATAAAAAGATTTGCATCCTGTTTACTGCACGGCGTAACATTTGCTACCAGACTCAGGATAAAATTTGGTAGCCGAAACAAGCAAAAATTTGTTTTATGAAAATCCACTATTTGAAAACTCTCAGGTTCTTGTTGCGACCGCGCGTTCCCCACGGCGCGCGGTCGCAACCAAACGGACGCTTGTCACTACGAGTGCCAGAACGGACCGACGGGCACCATGCTCGAAGACCTGATCGCGTGATTCTCAACACCATCGCGACGCAACAATCGGACCGATTTTTTCTACCGTATTTCTCTATGTGGTTGTCTTAAAGACTCGTAAAGCAACTTGAATAATTATGTTATTTTGCCGAGTAGTATGCGAAACGAGTTTGTCCGACCACTTTCCAAACCTGCACATCTATTTTCGTTCACTTCAAGAATTAATGTAAAATTCACTTACCTGATGCGTCGCACTGAAGTAATCCACTTTGTCGTCATGTCGCTTCGCAAGATCTTAAATGAAAGCGCGAAACTTTGACGCCTGAGTCACCTTCGCGACAGTGGCAGTCTTTCACGCAGCACTAGCGACTTTTATTTTGGGGGCTAACTCTAGGAGTGGGCGAGATGTCACAGGAACCCGGTGAGGTCATAGAGACGTGAGGTTGAGACTCACTTTTACGAAAAACAGTTCCAAAACAGCTCACACCGATCCGCAATGCCACGTTCACACGGGGTTTCTATATCAATGCGCCCGCCTGCAGTCCCCGACCCGTGCCGCCTTGGCCTACCCAATTTGTTTTATTTTGCAACCGCTAGATGGCGCAAAGTGTAGTACCAAACTGCATTGCTGGTTGCCTATGGGCACACCAATAGACCCGTTTCAGTATGACTTAGCAAACTGTGGAAGCTACATTCAGTGGGCCAATTAGAGCTTCGCAGAGAGACAGGTGGCATCTAGAATGAACACTTGTGAGACGCTATCACGTGTCTCACTCCAATGAATTTACTGGCTCATCGAAATTCGTAGAGTTCGTCGTGTGACGTGTGTCTGCTTACACTGAGAAGTAGGTGACGGCGGCGCCGGAACGTCGTGGCGCCTGCCCCACGGGCCACGGCACGGCCGAGTTGCCCGCGCGCCGTCTTGACGCGACTGTGAGGCGCCAATTGCCCGGGCTTCTCGGGCTTCGTGCTTGACACTGTGCTCCACATTGCCTGTTATTTACTCATGCTGCATTTTCGCGTTATTACGCTTGAATGCATAGGCACTATAAGTGAGGTAAGAATTTTTTGTAAAACAAAAATTATATATTTGAAAACCAACATTTTACAATTCAATTCTAAAGCACTTCTTATCGTTTGAAGGCCTATGACACATATCACGATAAATCATGGCCGCAATAAAATTTTACAATGGTGTAGCGGAGTGCAAGGTTGAT